ATTTACACAATCTCACCATTTTGGGGGCCAAACAATCTCCTTTTTCAAAAGATACTGTGGAAGGGGGCACTTTTAATGCTAATGAGCTGGTCAGAAATTCTCACTTGAATTAGTGGTCTGCACCCGTATGGTACACTCTGCGTGTTCCACCAACTAGAGGGCGCTGTGCTATCTACTCAGGAGAATTTTTGCAATTTTCCAAATTTCAGCTGAGACTCTGGTTCGGCTCGTGCTTAAGCACCAGAATCAAACCTTTTCTTTTGAAACAGCATGAAAACACTCCCCAAACCAAGCTTTATACATTGAAAGTACATACCTGGTGTGGACATTCCTTTTCATGAGGAAACTCAGAGAAAACACTAAATTTTCTTGCAAACTAAAAGTGGAACTGTTTGCTGAAAGAAAAGAACCCAGAAAGAAAGGAACCAAGAAATTGCCAATCAATCTCTTATCCCATCAACTTGATTCTCAAAAAAAATTTCAGTGTCTTCTATGCTCTTCCTTTCAAGGAAACTCAAAGATCCCGTTGGAATGCACTGTTTTACTTTTTTGTCACACTTTTGCCAACATGTTACTAACACCTACATGAGGGGGATGTCCTCCATGTTTGTGTTGTGACTGCTGTACACGTAATCGCTACCCAGACCAGAATCTCTCTTCTGTAGCTGACCCCCAGTATCCTTGATTTGGCTCAAGGAGCCACTGGCATCGTCGCCCTCGTCAGTACCCAGCATGGGTTCCAGTTCTACAAAAACCTCCTCGGGTGTGCTGGCCAGTACCGTCACATCGTCTTCGCTGCTTTCTATGCTCACCATGGGGATAACCTCAGGTCTGGCCCTGGAGGACATTGTCGTGTCACTGCCTTTGTCTCCCACTTCCTCCTGCTCCTCCTCCGAATCCCACTCTTCTGATATCTCGAAGAATGGGTAGTGCTTGTAGTTCTGGCAGAAGTCCAAGTAAGGGGTGTCCTCCTCGAGTAGAGCTTCCAGCTTGTGGCGGAGATCGGTGAAGGTGGGGCGGTCCTCTGGGAAATGATGCCAGCAAGCAATCATGATGGCATAGCTAGTGGGTAAATGCAAAGCAAACATGTTGTTACTGTAATCCAGCGGTCATTTCAGTATAAATTTAAAGGGTAGCTGCGACGGAATTTGTGAAATGGAAACCTTTAAAATGCACCTTTGTGTCTCTGTCAACCTCATTTTCAGGTTTTTGCTTCACTCAATCAAAGGGTCACTGCCTTTTGGTTTTATGCCAACTAATATTTCCTTATTCATGAGCGAAATTGTGACGTCATCTTAGCAAGAAAGTCCCAGTGTAACACTGGTTTGTAACAAAACAAACCAAAAAACATCCTGTATGTTATAGCTTTTCTGGACTGAAGTTTCTGTTCTCTGGTAATTTTGTTACTTGTACACAGCAATAAGAATGAAGTCAGCCTTTTCTAAGAACTTTTGTCAGCGAGTAAATTCTGGGTTCCCACTTCGGACAGAAAAACCTGCATAATGAATGATGTCTTCCTAAGATGACACCGCAGGAATAGTGCAATCAGTCATCCAGGAAAAATTTATAATTTTAAGGTTCTAATCATACCTTGGCCTGATAAGATTCTAACACCTGATTGTGGATTCTAAAGTAATCTTTTTTTAGCACAGAGGTTTTATCTGACTCCAGGACTCACAGAATCAGCAATCACTGACTGTGGAAGTGCATCTGAAGTTACTTACAACTTTCAAAACTGAATGATAAAGCATGTCTAGGTAAACTCTGGCATAGACCCAAGATAAAATCAATCAAGCGTTGAGCCTTTTCTCCCGTAGTCTTAACTGACCTGGATTTAAATTAAAGCCTACTGTTGTTTGTAGACTTAATTTTTTTGCATCAGGATGTTACATATTAAACATGTTTCCCTGTAGTGCCCCCTGCTAATTTGCTTTCTACTGGCCAGCCAACTGTGTCGAGGTTCTGTGATTTATGGCAAAAATACCCGACATAAAAGTCTAACACTGTTCTCTTACTGACTGAGACTTGCATCAAGACGAGTCTGCCACGTTGGCTTTGCAGCCACTGTTTATTACCACGGAAGAAAAAGCACTTGCTTCCATCTGCTTGATTAAGAATCTTGGTTGCTTATGTTAAGTTTTCAAGATGTATTTTTTTTTTTTGCGTTGGGAAGATGTTACGTTGGGTACGGGCAAAACCGTTATATATATAATTATGTTAAGTTGCTTATGAACACAAACTTGCAAGATTTCCCACAATAGCCATCATGCTAGTACTGTTCTACTTACAGAACTTCCGAGCAGTTTTCTGGTCTCACTATGCGGTACCCTCCTTTCAGCATGCCAAGGATGTCTTCATTCTGAATGCCAGGATAAGGTGAGGCACCCAGGGTCACTATCTCAAACAGCAGCACACCAAAGGACCAGCTGAAATCAAATGTAACAGCTGTCCATTGAAATGGCATATCTGGTTAAGTCTCTCAAGTAGTGTTTCCATCAAGGCTCACTCACGTAAGAGTGGTCGTGGAAAGATTTTTAAAAAACTAAAAGAGAATAGCCAGCAAATCGTTTATATGCCTCCATGGAGGGGATCGCAATGTAGAATTTGGGACAAAAGCAAAACTGCCAAAAAAATTTAGGAAGCAAACTTTCCCCTTCCTCTCTTGCTTTCAGCAGCTGCACTCCAGAAACTCCAATCACGAGTGTCTTTAAGCCAGCACACACTCAACAATGCTGATTGCTGAGATGTGATGCTGAGTATGGTGTTCCATGTGTGCCATCTGGTCGCATTTTTCGACTGGGCGTCGCATTTTTCGACCGGTGTCGCATTTTTCAACGGGCGTCGCATTTTTCGACCGGCGTCGCATTTTTAAACTGGCGTCGCATTTTTCGACCGGGCGTCGCATTTTTCGACCAGCGTCGCATTTTCAGTCGGCGTCGCATTTTTCAGCCGGCGTCGCATTTTTCATTACTTGATCGGAAAGACCTATGGAGGCCAGGATCTCGTCCATCACCGGTACCGCCAGCTTATTATAAAGCACTCAAAAACTAGTCTAATAAAGAATGAAGTTATCTATTGTGGAGATTCTCACACGTACGGCAACATTTGTCACAGAAAAAAGACAGATTAGACAGAAAGGCATGTACATGTACGTGTAACCCCAGGGTCGATCAAGAAGCAGCAGCTACGACGAAACAGCCTTTTCAAACAGTGACACTTTTCAAACCCAAATCCACATGCAGTCCTCAAGACCTTGGGAAGTCATTTCATTGAGTAATAAACACAAGGCCCCCCCAACAAAGAAAGAAAAATGATCTCAACAGCCTCCACCGGGGGAATGACTGAACCACGGACCATTGCCTGAACAACTTCCAATGTGTGAAATACCTTTCTACTACTGTAATGAAAAAATAAGATCAGTCTTGGCTTCCTCTGGGCAGATTTTTATGGTTCAAAAAGTGTTTTCGGAAAACTTTGCGTGATGCAAAGAAAACATGATGCAAGAAAACGTAAAATTTCTCAAAGTCATGGTGCATGACATTTCTTCGCCAAGAGTAGTTACATTTTAAATTATATACCGTGCTGCGATAAACGCTCCCTCGTGAAGCATGTCTGCAAGATGGCAAATACCATACCAATCAGAGTGAACAATGGGCCTACTATTCTGGGTTCGATTTTTGTGGCAACTAGTAATCATCAGTACGGGGACATTTTTCACTCAAAAAGCTTGCCGAAGTGAGAAACCAAATTGAGCGAGGTGAACTTCCACGACTAATAGGGTTCATTAAAGGGCTGTTAATTTATTGACATACAGTTAATCGACGCATACATGATAATTTAGCCGTTTCCATAATCATTAAAAATGTGTACGCACACTTTTAGCATCCAAGTCAACAACGTCAGGTCCGGCTGGACCAAGGTTGACCATTGATGATTGGCTCATTCACACTGAAAGACGACGCCCGTCGAAAATACGACGCCCGTTGAAAAATGCGACGCCGGTTGAAAAATGCGACGCCCGTTGAAAAATGCGACGCCGGATGGCACATATGGAACACAATAGCTGAGACTATGTATATTAAAATTTTTCTATTTTGGCTGTACTTACACATCATTGTAGGTGGTGAAGACTTGATCGTTCAGAGCCTCGACAGACATCCACTTGATGGGTAGCTTGCCCCCTCTCCTGTGCACATAAATTTTGTCATCATAGACGTACCTGGTCAGCCCAAAGTCACCGATCTTGACCGTTTTGTCTTCAGCTACCATGACATTCCTCGCTGCCAGGTCACGGTGCACAAAGCCTTTCTGAGACAAATACTCCTAAACAGATAGAGGACAAAGCAGCACGCATATTGTACCAGTAAGGATTCTCATCCACTTGGAAATAGGTCAAGAACAACGGTATCCATCCAACAAGTCAGCAGAGTACTGCGTATAGCAATAATTGAGATGACCAGAACATTGCACTGCTATAAACTGTGTTCAGAAATTGATGGGAATGTACAGGATATGAAGGAACCACCCCATTTTAGTATTATCACAACCCCTTTTTTATCATGCCAAGCCTTCAGGAGTTTTCATGCTGACATACTGTTGTCATTCTGATACCAATTAATGAACATCAAACCTACTGTTCTCATGAAATGCTCATTATTTTCCAGACAGCTACATGTAAAAATGGTAATTTTTCTCATCTGCATCTGCTTAAATGATCCAGGAAATCGAAATATTTTATAAATTGTACTAAAACCTTCTTGATATTGCATCTTTCAATAAACCTGATTTTAAATCTTTTTTTGCAATTTTAACCCATATTTTGATGCTTTTTGTTTTATGCAAATGCTATTTGTATATTCATGAGCAGAACTATAATGTCATCCAAGGCACTGGATCTCAATGTTGCACTGATCTGTGCACAGAAAATTTCTAGATTTTTGTAACCATTGCTATGGCAGATTTTTTTGGTTGGCAATTTATTGCTGTGTAAGTATATGGCAATAATCCAGCAAAAATCCTTTTCACAGAAATGTTCCCAGATAGCAAATTTGGGATTCACAATTTGAACATGAAAACATGCAATCTGAACCATGTCTTCCTGGATTTACATCAAAGCAAAAGCGCCCTCACTTGTCCAGAAATGCTTGGTCATTTTTTTTAATGTTTGAAAAAGAGCACCGTTTGGTTCACGTCTCCATACAGACTTCATACATGGAAGAAGAGTACAGAGACACACAAAAAGTGATTCTGAGAAAAATTCATTTTCTGGTTCCGTTAAGGCACAGGCGAACGTGTGAGAGGGTGAACCTGTAAATGACTTAACTGAAACTTTGCACATGCTCATAGACGGATTTCACATTAGCACCGTCTGCGCATATCTGCATCGAAACCGAGGCTCTCTGTGTTGAACTTCGTCGCGCGCGCCCGCGGAGTCCACACAGTACATGGAGTATCCGGTTCGTAAGTGTGACGCCACTTCAGTTTAAACCACACCCACTGCACAAGATACACGACCATCGCAGGTACGTTAGTTCGCGGTCAATTGTCGTTATTTTTCTTTGGATTTTACGTGTCGAATCATCCTGAAAGATTCTCCCACAAAAATTTTCAGCCTGAAAAGTCTGAATTTAACATACCTTTATGTATTTTATGTCTTGACTCCTTACTTTCAATCGTCTGATCGTATTAAGAACTGAAGTTGACACATACAGCCTCGTTTTCAAACGCGGAAGTGCGCAGACTGACGCTAAAAGCGTCGTATTGGGATCCCTCTATTGTGTCTTTACTTGGATGTTAAGTTTCAAGAAAACTGGTCATGGGACTAGCCAGATATTGTAGCGGCCATTTAGGGTTAACCTACAAACTCCAAATCATTGACTCACTGTTTTGCAGACAGGGAGGAAAACAGAAGAAAATGACCAGAGTGAGACCTGAAACCATTATCTTGAGAACATCCCAAAAGTACACTACTGCTTGAACAAAAATCGGAAAATTTTCAGAAGCGGAACTGAGATACGTACCATACCTCGTGCAATCTGTCGTGCAAATGACAACAAGTCCTTGGGCATCAAAGGGTCTGATTCTGTTCCATCCGCTTTCTCAGCCTTTTCATTTTGTATGTTACATGAAAAATGATGACAATAAGGGCAACAAATTCATCTTTGATAACATTAATGTCCACTCTATGCAATTAAAACAAATCACAAGTTGAAAAGACAAGATTAGATGAAGGCATGATGAGAACTGGTAAAAAGTTTTTGGGGTACACCTCAATAAGAAAAGACAACACTTGCACTCATAAAGGGAAATATGAAATTAGAGTAAAGGTGCATGAATAAGAGAGAGGGTCATACAACTGAGGTTCAAACTACAAACTCTAATGTGAGAAAGGACTAATTAGCCAACCTAGTCAAGAGAGGAAGGCAGTTTTTTAGAACCATATTTTAGCACTCTGTAGGTATGGAGTCATTCCACAGTTTGTATCTTATGTATTTGTAAACAGGCATTTAGTTCATTACATGATTAGTGAGTTAATACGGGCGATTCACAATAGTGCGCCACCAAGAGTTTGCAACACGTCGGCCAATCATAACGCACGAAATTTGTCGACCTTTTCCAAACGTGCATTGGGTTGACAAATTCCAAATTGTGATTAACCAATGCATTGCAAACTCTTGTTGGCGCACTATTGTTAATCAGAGCTGTGAGCAACTGACACATGCTCTGTGCATGCTTGGTCTTTATCAGATGCCAACATTTCAAGTATCCAATTATTCAATTTGACATTTGTCCCTTTGATAGGTTAACTCAATCATTTATGTGCATTATGTTCATTTGATGAAAAAAAATGTGTGTTAAGGCGCATTGTTGGAAATGGCTTTCAAAAATGTTAGGCAAAACAATACCATCCGAAAATGGTCAAGTCTCTCCATCGGTCCTCGCTTGGCTCTCAGGTACTGAAGCAGGTCACCATGGCAACAGTGCTCCACAATGAGACAGAGGGGTGTGGCGTCAGTGCTGCAGCAGCCGAGCAGGCTGACCAGGTTGCTATGGTGACCAATGTCCTTCATCAGTTTCATCTCATGGCGAAACTCCTGCCTTTGCCATTCATCTGCATCCCCTGCATTAACATTGGCAAGAAAAATGTCATGAAACTTCAGCCATTTTATCATCAGAATTTTGTGTTCACCCTCTCATTGAAACTTACAACTTCCCTGGAATCCTTTGTTATGTAAATCTTCCACGTGTTACCACTTGGACCAAAACATCTTTTGGTAGGGCACCGGTCAACTCGGTCCGTAACCAACTTGGTCCGAGTCAACTCGGTCCCAAGTCAAGTCGGTCCCAAGTCAACTCGGTCCCAAGTCAACTCGGTCCCAAGTCAACTCAGTCCCAAGTCAACTCGGTCCCAAGTCAACTCGGTCCCAAGTCAACTCGGTCCCAAGTCAACTCAGTCCCAAGTCAACTCGGTCCCAGGTTATCTTGTCCCAAGTCAACTCGGTCCCAAGCCAACTCAGTCCCAAGTCAACTCGGTCCCAAGTCAACTCGGTCCCTTTCAACTCAGTCCCAAGTCAACTCGGTCCCAAGTCAACTCGGTCCCAAGTCAACTCAGTCATTCATTGTATTCATTATGTGTACTTTAGAACTAATGTTAATCATGTATGGAATTCGGATTTGATGTGTTAACCATAAAAGTTTTCCTTTCCGATGTTGCGTCTCATTCACCCCCGGTTTCGTTTATTACTGAACGTGATAAAAGTGAAGACCAAAAATTATATAAAATGAAAGAAAAAACCAACAACTGAATTACACATGATCGACATTTCAAGATAATCCTTTTTGTCAGCCGACAGTTTCAATTTATTTTGTCATTTTGATATACCAATTCCGTTAAAACAAGGTTCAAATGTCTAAAACTAAACAGGAGCCACTTTGCAGAGAATTGCATGTCTTTCTGAAAAATTTGGGCCTTTCAAAGTTCTCATCATCAATTTGCAGCGCGCTCTGAATAGACCCATGGTTGATGAAAAGCAAAAACCCAGTGCATTCAAATGGCATATTAGTATGCTTGGTCTTCTAAATTACAGAGGGTTGGAAATCTGGAGCAGAAGAATGCCGCCGACGTCTGAGACTTAATCTTTCGATTGGTGCAGGCTAGCATCCGTGTGAAGCACCGAACCGCTCTGGCCTTTGACGGATTGGGTCAGTCACATCTACGCCGTGCTTGGAAGTAGCATTCTCGGTTGCAACTCCGGTTCTAAATGAGACCGAGTTGATTTGGGACTGAGTTGAATTGGGACCGAGTTGACTTGGGACTGAGTTGACTTGGGACCGAGTTGACTCGGTCTGAGTTGGTTACGGACAGAGTTGACCGTAAAGCTTTTGGTAGCAGTGGTACAAAACCTGGTCGGTTTTCTCACCATTTGAATAAATCTGCCACGATATTATAGAAGTAAAAGACAGAACTACCTTGATGGAAATGTGAAATGTGCCACACCATGGAGAATGTATGCAAGTGCATATATCGGTACTCGGTATCTATCAGTATTATATCATGGAGGGGTCAGGGAACCATTCTTCACACCAAATAAATTACAGCACACTACTTCCGGTCCGATTAATCTGGGGCCAACTGTGGTCTGCAGAAAGTTTCCGCAAACCACTTTCGAAGTGCAAGAGCTATGTCAAACCAGCAGGGCTGCCCATTCTTCATTCTCAGAGGACTTTGTTCCCCCTGCCATTGTAGTTTCATGAGTCATTTACCCTCAGTTTTGCCAACCTAAAAGGCAGATTAACATTTCCTTCCGTGGACCTTTAATTAAGATCACCTCTTTGCAGCCAATTTCACGAAACATAATTAGCGTTCGATTTCATGAGAAACTGAAAAGCTGTGCCACATTTTAATAATATTAAATTTCTTAAACCATGACAAAATGGCTTTTGCAACAGCTGTTCCTTTCCAATATAACAACAGTCATCAAACCGTCGTTAAATCATCTCCACCCACCTTTTCGAAAACGTTTCTGTCTTTTCTTCATCGGAACCAGATAAATGTCTCACAGTTAACAACAAAGTTATACATTTCTTAAGTTCAACGATGATGAAGCTTAAACGAACACAATTAGCTAGTCAAACTACCTAAAATGAGTACGTAAGTTACGCCATAATTTGTTGAATAATCTTACGCCATTGCGTAAAGTTTCGTGAAATTGGCAGCTGGTCCCTGTCACTGTGCTGCACTTTGAAACATCATCCAGCTTCTTTATTTTACGTATACGTGTAGTCCAAATACAATGCCACACTGGAAATGGGAATTAACAAGCTTATAATTATGCTCCTACCGTGCAGCATCTTGACAGCCACCTGGACATCGTATCGTTTGATGGAGTCTCTGAAGAGACTGGAACCAGACGTGTAGTGCGTGGACAGCTTGCCGGGTATGAAGGCCTTCATCACTATGCCAAACTGGCCTTTGCCAAGCATCTCCCCCATCTCCAGTCGGTCAAATGGTATCTCCCATCGGTCTGGTATAGGTGGATCGGGACTAAGTGAAAAAAATAATTATTATATTGGGAGGATTTCTTGACGTTTTACTTTTGGACTATTCAACCATTCTGTCAGGAAGTTAACTTTTCAAGTGGAACTCACATCCAATAAAAAATCAGAAAACAATTTCATCCCAGTTTAAAGCCTCAAGGCAAGTTCTGTATGAAATTTTGATATTTTGGACAACAAAACTTTTGTAATTACTGTTTTCTAAACTTCAAGCACCATTTAAAGGACAAACTATCACTAATATCAGCAATACTATTAGTACAACAATTCTAGATGTATTCACGCGGCCAACTTTTTCCATGGCTTCAGATCTAATAATGATGCTGACCCGTGGAGGTCATTTGTTCAAGATTTGTGCAACTTTTTTACTACATCTTTGCGTTTTGAAAACTTATGGCTGATTGATATTTGCTAGCCATGTGGCACTCAGCCACAGCTTAAGGGCTCCACATATGCTCAACCTCCATGGACGAGTTTGATCCTCCAGAAAACAGGCAAAGGAAATCTCTGTATTTTATGTCCTCCAGCAGTTAAGAAAACCATTTTTGGAAGTGGTTGATAATTCAGTAAATTATGATCAGTTAGTTGCAAATGATGGAAACTATACTCTGAGGGCCTAAGGGGGCTACTTGAACAACACTGATAGGGGAAGGCTTCAGTCCCTTGACCCTTCCTAGTCAAACGATTGTTTTGACTGACTTGTCTGCAGACGGTGTGATGGTGTACACGTTGGGCATGCTCTCCTCATCCCTTCGGAGCCTCGTTTTAGACATGCGAGATTCCATCTGCCGAAGGCGACACCTCCACACCACCGCAAGCATCATGCACAAGGCAAAGACGCAGAGGAGGGAGGAGGCAACGATCAGGATAATTGTCAAGGTAGGCTGCTCGTCGGGTAGAGGGGTGCTGTAACTGCTGTTGACAGCTGTATGCAGAGTTACAAGGAAAGACCACTTTCACTGGCTTGAAAATCAGCTTTCAACCCATGGCCAATGCTGACTATGCAAAGTAGCATTACTGTGAAAGTTCACCACAAGACCCCAAGTCACAAGTGAAGTCACAAACTATTCGAACAAACTGTAACAAATGCATTCTCCTTTGTTACTCTTCATCCTGTTGCCTGTAACCCAACCTATGAATGGGCTTGATAGTTCTGTAAATCTGAGATGGACTGAACGCTGGCTAAAACATGACATAGGCCTATTGTTCAAGTCACAATTTGCTTATTACCGGTAAATTTTCAAACTGTATATGCACCACATGGAGTACCGAAGTGAAAACATCACATGCACATTATCTTTTTAAAAGTCATTAGCACTAGAACCAGTGTGTAAACCAACACATGGAGGAAGTATATTTGTTTGCACTATACATTTCTCGATTTAATTTAAAAGACGTCATGCTCTGGTAGTACATGGTTTCATTCAGACGAAAGAAATAGTCAACAAAATGTGCAGAAAATAGGCACATGCATTTTACCACTTTCAGCATCAGGATGAAGCTCTGTTTAGACTGGTGGTTTAGTAATTTTGTTTCTCTCAATAAGCAGAGCTTAAATTTTAACTAAAAGCAACAACTGCTATAAGAGAAGATAATGAGATGAAAGGCAATTTAATATGGAAGGAGGACAAACATGGAAAAATCAGAAGGAAACCAAAATGACTTTACATTACTAACTGAAACAAATGAATCTGACCTTCAAGGCTTATCTCAAATGAATAAGTGGGTACCGTGGCTAAATTGGTTTCTGCTCCAGTGATATTGATTGCAACCTGTAACATTAAAAAACAAAAGAGAAAGCTGTTCCAAACCAAATGTCTTTCTTCAAATCATTTGCCATTGTGTCAATGAATTTCGCATTTAATTTGCTGCAGTGGTACCTCTACTTAATGTGGGGATTTCACAATTCAATTTGCCACAAAGAGGTTGCCATCGACCGAGAAGCCATTTTTCAAGTTTACGGCCAAATTGCCACATTTTTCATTTGACAGATGTCCTAAGCATAGTGACTGGTCAGATTCTTGTATTTGCATGAAGCATGACTCGGAATTCAGAGTATGTGCCAAGGAATGGTTGGTTGAATAGTAATTCAAAATTGTGTGAGATATAAAAGGTATACGGACATACTGGCCTCATATAGTTCTCCTGAGTAATCTCAACACACCACCCAACTTTCTCGTACTCACCTTCTTCCTTATTACCGGTAACGCATTTCACCAGCAGCATACCTTTGGTAAATTTTTAGGGGGGCCAACCATTTTTTGGTGGGGGCACAGGAAGCTGATGATGAAAGGCTTGTACATAGGTTGTGTACATTTTAACATTTCAAATGTGATGGGGGAGGGAAAAGAGCCCCACCGAGGGCATCTTCCAGTAGTTATGTGTCTGCATTTCAGAAGTTAGAAACTTAACCCAAAAAAAAGTATTCTCAACTGTGGTATAATTGGCATTTCGGGGGGTCACATCTCCAGTTCAAATGGGTCTGGCAACACAAAACTAAACATGATAAAAAACCAGTAGGCCCTACCGCCATTAAAAAGAGTCATAATATTACTCTTACCCTAACGCCATAAAGGATGTCTGCCTCTAACCCTGTCAACCAGACATAGTTGTTCTTCTACAGTAAAAAAAAAAATAGTCAATATTCCTGATCAGTTTAATGTAATGCAAATACGGATGGCGTGTATACCAGATGTTAATGGCCTGCACAGCAATGATGTAAGTCATGAGATCTGGTCTCGGTTGATCTTGATCCTGAGCCTCAGTCAAAGCTCAGTCTAAGTCTGTGGTCTCAGCTCAAGACCTCAATGAGATTGCACAGGAGTGCATTGCTTTGCCTCTAAAGCACAGCAACATGAAATTTACACAGAGTTGGAAAACTCGTACTTGAACTCGAATACCAATAAGTACTTGGCCCGTATTTGATCGTATTAAAGCATTCCAAAAAGTACACGGCATGTACTCATAATTTTGTACTCGACCTCGTCCCTAAACTTGACAAATTGTACTAGTTAGCTTGATCCCAGTCGCGCAGTACTCGAAAAGAAATTGGGATTTTTTTGGATACTAATTTTTTGATTTTTGATACTAACTTTCACTAAAAATTTCAGATAGTGTAAGCTACACTTTACAAGTCACGCAGTGCTTTTATCGTCGAGTATTCGAGAATGGGTGTTGGCACGTGGCAGCGCTCGTAGTATCCCTGATGTACATTAATGCAAATTTCTATATTGTTCCAGTTTTTCAATATACTCGGATGTACTCGATTATCTTTGTACTCATACTCAGCCCATACTCAGACTCTGATAAACTCGAACTCTGATTTTGGCCCAGGACTTGATTAGAAGTACGCGGACTCAGCCCGTACTCGGTACTGTGTGTACTTGGAAAACTTGGTGCTCGAGATTTGATACTTGACTACTCACTGAATTTACTTGATGAAAATAAGAATGGTCTACATTGCACTCAGTTCAATTTCTTGACAAACCCACGGAGGTAAGCTATTTCACATTCACATTAGTCTTGCATGAAAGACAGACTCAGTCAAAGCAATAATGGAGAGACCAGGAAGCATTCTGCCAGGTGCTGGGCCTTCAAGTCCCTTCAATACAACCAAGATCCAGCAGTGGGAGATTACATCCGGCAGCTGATGTCCCCACAGTTCCTGCCTGCCAAGTATATCGACGAGGCCTTCAGCTACCTTCAGGCCCAAGCCTCATGACCTCCTCCAAGTACTCTGTCAGTACATTGAGGCAACGTAGCTACAGCACAGTACTTGGAACCCAGCAAACTGGTCTGTCTTCAGGAGGGCCATACGCACCAACAACGATGTCGAGGGGCGGCATCGTCGGCTGAACTGGAGGGCAGGCCTCCACTGTGCCCAGTTTTACACAGTGGTTACGCTGCTTCACAGCGAGGCAACCATGATCAAGATCCAGATGCAGCCACTGAAGGCATCCAAGCTACGATGATACCAGCAGAAGAAGGTCAAGACATTCCAAGGGCGGGGCGGGAGGTGAAGGCCGCCACTTTACATGTGTCCAGTTTTACACAGTGGTAGCGCTGCTTCACAGCGAGGCAACCATGGTCAAGATCCAGATGCAGCTACTGAAGGCAGCCAAGCTACGATGATACCAGCAGAAGAAGGTCAAGACATTCCAAGGGCGGGTGTTCAAGCTATGGGAGCGGTACAAGAACGGCAACCTGACGATATCCGGCTTTACTGGCTGCGTACCTTACTGGACCAGCACTACAAACAGCAGGGGGACTGCAACTACAAACCAAAACTTGGTTTTGCCGACTGTCGATGATAATACGTGCATATTTCAAATTAAAACAGGATTTATCAAACATCAGCAAATACAGCTATCGCATAGCCAATTACGTCTTTTCAGAGAGACAAATTTTTATAACAGTGCAGGAAAAAATCATTACCAGTCAGTGTTTGTCCAAGGATGGATTTTCACCACGGACCACTGAGCTTGCCATCCTATCCTTGGAAATAGTTGTTCGTGCTACCCACTGCTACATCTACAGACTCAACCAGTCAGCCAACACCGGCAAACATGGAGTTCAAGTGGTTAAGCCGTCTGCACTAGTAAGCAGGAGGTCGTTGGTTCGAGTTCCACCCGAGTACGCTTTTGAGTTTTCTCACAAGCCGGGGGCAAACACTGAGTATACAGTGTTGTAATAACTCAAATAGCCTCAATGTAGTCTCAAATTGCAAATTTCATTTTAAGTTGTTTGACTTGTTCACAATTTGTTCGTCTCAATAATTCCATCAATTCAGATGTTATTGTTTCCTGTACTGGAGCTCCACAGGGTACGGTTTCAGCACCATTTCTTTTTACTGTGTATACGGCAGACTTTCGCTCCACGGATGTGAGCTGTCCATTTGTAAAATATGCAGATGATACCGCCCTTATTGGTTCAATACAAAAAAACGAGTCTATTTATATTGAGCAAATTGGTAGATTTGTAGAATACTGCAGAAGCAACTTCTTGGTATTGAATGTGGCAAAGACAAAAGAAATGTTGGTTGACTTTTGCAAAGTCTATATAGTGGTACCAGACCCGTTAATAATTGATGGATATGAAATAGAAAGTGTTGATGAGTATACACATCTTGGAGTTGTTTTTGAAAATAACTTGGACTGGAGTAATCATGTTGTCATTTGGGGAAGAAACTGAACTCAAGAATGTACTGCCTTAGGAAACTGAATTCGTTTTAATGTCTGAAAGGAACTTAAAATGGCATTATTTGTAGTGTATGGATCTACTGTCTGATATATTGGGCTGGTAATGCGGATAAGAAAGTGAAACAGATAATGACATTGTCAAACGTGCTAGTAGGATAATCGGTGTGTGCTTGCCGTCGGTGGACACAGTTTACGGTCATTTGCTACATGGTAAGCTCCAGCTGGTGTGGGGAGATGCTGGTTATCCTCTTCACAGTTGGTTTGAGGTTAAAACTATTCCACGCAGCGGTAGACTGAGACCAATGGCTGCACACACAAACCGATATCCTTCTGTTTTTTACAGGAAGGGCCATAAATTGTTTTAATGAGAATTTTAAAAGATCATTTTTATCTGAAGGACTGTTTTCTGGTAAGAAATACTTAAGAAATAAGGAGTGCTTATTTGTGTGTATTTTTGTATGACTATTTAATTTCTAATTTAGGTTTTCATTTTTGGGGCGTTCTTCTTTTAAACTGAGTTGGAAATTATCTTATTTATTTTTGTTTACGGTTATGTGAAATTGTTTGCTTAAATGAGCGACGACAGCAATGTAATTTTCCAGTTTTGGATTTTAACAAAGTTTATCTTATCTTACCTCATCTTAAAATCTTTTCCTGAGTGTATTCTGGTTCGAACTGATAAAGCAATATTTCTTGTGCCTTATCAGCTCCTTCAATGTTACTTTGTTAAAATGAATGAGAAACATGACAGCTGAACGCTGCCATGATCAGAAAAAGTATCAATGCTGGAATTATCGTCGCTTGAGTCTGACATGATGGCACACGCTAACGCTGCTGCATTGCGTACACGTTGACGCGTCGTTACATAACAGTAAACAGTCGCCTGATAAAGGACTCCATCCTATGATGTCAAGATTCTTGGGAATTTCTTCAGACAACTTTTGGTACTCGACGGCTGTTGTTAAGCTTTTGCTCTGAGAAGGGAGTGAAATAGGGTCGTGAAAACTTAGATTTTTAACATACTTCCGTGCATTTTGAAATTATACAGACGTGTTTTCTTGTTATGTGTATGTTTGTAAGTGCTAATGCTTGTTTTACAAAATATCTTCCCAGCACGGTCCATCCTTTTTAAGGTCTTGTGTGTGTCTACGCACCTTTAATGGGTTCCAACCACAACAATGTTGCACATTTTAGAGAAAACCTTCAGGAGACTGGTCCGAAACCATGACTGTCATTGACTGGCACAAAATGTTAGTGTTTTGGATCAAACTGGCTCAAATGATACCTACCACTCCAGGAATGCTGATGTCGGTGATGGTCTCTGGGTACAAGTTTAAAATTGGAAGTAGCTGGTTAGAGCTGTTATCATTTCTTATAACTTTCCCCCACTGAACAATGTAGCCATTCACATTTGGGCTAGGATCCACAGCGTGCCACTGGACCATGGCAGACTTGTTGTGAGGGTAGCGGATCGCACTGACCGAGGTTAACTGCAGCCTGGGAGATGAACCTGACAGTGAAGTGACATAAAATAAATGAGCAGCAGTTATAATGAATATCAGTCAGTCATCGTTTGGTAATCTAAATCAGTCATCTTGCAAAAGTGGCATCAAAGGCATCAACAGGAACCCAAAACTAAAGAAACAATTAGGATTTAATTGTCATCAGCAGTTATTAACCCGATGTTAGAACTGATACCTGTTATGTGACCCCAAATAGGCATCAGGTGTGGAAAATATAAGGTATCAAAGAGGTATTACGACTGATGCCCAATTCCAAGAGTCATAGGAATCTGGGATCCTAGAGTCAACAGAGTCATCATCAGCTACAATTAGGCATCAGGGTCATCAGATCAGGCATAAAAGAATCATTAGATCAGGCATCAAAACGTCATCAGATCAGGCATAAAAACGTCATAAGATCAGGCATTAAACTATTGATAGCAATATGCACTTACTCATTAAAAGGCATCCAAAATGGACCAAAGGCACTAAAAGGTAAAGAATGAAGCAATCTACAGGCATTTAATTGATATTGAGAAGTTCAGCTCTGGCTGCTTCCTTTATTACATGATAGATATTTAGTGCTGCATCAATGGGGTTTATCCCCTCCTGGTGTGCGTTAAATTTGGAGTCGGCTTATTACATGAAATGAGGTGGGCTTGGTCCCAGTGGATGTGGTGGTCTTCCGAGTGGGAATGCTTGACTATGACTACGCCGACTTCTCGTAGTCTCCCTTTCTGCCGTGAGCTTGGTGTTCTTTGAGTCTGGTGGAGAGGTCCCTACCAGTCTCGCCAATATTCACTTAGCCGCATTGGCAAGGGATCTTGTACGCCCCTTGTTGGTGGTGCAGATCTTGTCAGTCTTTGTGGGATGTCAGCATGCCACGGATCTTGATGCCATGATGCCATGCTTACTTAGGATACGCTGAGTAGTGGGAAGTACAACCTAGGTAGGAGAGAGTAACAGAATTAGGGGCCTTATCTAATTGTCTTTGGGTATAGGAGACCCTTCGACCAGGAGGGGATCTAGGTCTTGGGTCTTGATCTGCTGGGGCTGTAGCCGTTTCGTTTAAGTGCCGTAGAGATGTGGTACAGTTCTTTAGTGAGGTGATATGGATGGTCTTGTCTTGGTGTAGAAACTTGATGGCTGACCGATCTTCTCTGGAGATTTTGGGCTTGGGTGTCTTGTGCTTCCGGAGGGCTTGGTTGATCTCGAGACGGATCTCATCAGCAGTGGACTTGCCAAGGCGACGGAGAGTGGGCTCTGTGGCTTGAATCTCTTCCGTAGGTAAGGACTGAGGGGCTAGCGCAAAGTTCAGGCCCAGGGCAAGAGATTTCTCCTCGTTAGAAGAGAGGGTGCGTTGACTCATGTTGACGACCGTAGGCTTGGTGAAGGAGTCCTTGGATCGAAGATGGGGCGAAGATACTCCGAAACGTTGAGTATACTCCCAGTTCTTTTCAGAACCACGCGTACTGATAAGAGAAATATATTCCTTCGCAAGGTGCTACCGCAAGCCTTTCCACCTAAATTCCTCAACGATTATAATAACCTTAAAGATGATGATAAAGAACAAAATAAAGACTTTTAAATCAACTTTGAGTCTTAAAATTGCTAGAAATCAGAAGCAATTTAGTAATTGTAGAGCTTACAACCTAGATACCAGTAAACAGAATGTAATTTCAACAAGATGTAGATGTTTCTTATGGGGATGTTTAAATTGTTAAATGCAGAAGAAGTTGATCCAAAGGGATTTCTTTTGGGGGTGGGGATTACTCAGCTGAATTCTTCTTTGATGGACATCTAGCGCTGTAGCAGGCACTGTTAATAATTCGCGTCACTTCTGCATTTTTCAATTAGGGTGATGTTGCAATCAATTGCCAGTTGGTGGATGAAGCCTGAAAGAGGAATAAACACAAATAAGCAAAAGAGTTCTGGAAGTTTTCTTAAAATACACACAGAACCTTACATAAACCCTGTTTTGAATTTTATTGCATTACTGTCTTTTGTGTTCTAGAAACAAGTCCCATGTGTTGAGATTGTCAAAACTGGGTCTACATTTCACAGTTTACATGACAGAACAAATAAGATTTTTCCATCAGAAATGCAATGGCAAATGATCACTAAGATGGAAGCATTCTAACGAAAGACAAGGTGAAGACCCTGTTTAGAATGGGGTGCAAACCGATTCTAGTTTATGAAACACAAACCATAATACTCTTTGAAGCTCAGGACAGCTACTTCGGGAAGAGCTGAGCGCCTGTCATCTTTGCCTTTGTGCCGGCCTTAGCAACATGATCATTGCCAACTCTTCCCGAGAGAAGAGAGCCAAGAGGAGGTGCCTCAAGACGACCTTTAGTCCATAATTTCATTTGATGTCAAGGAACCCTTTGTAGAATCCAGCTGTTTGGTTGTCAGGTATACTCTGGATGAAACTCTACCTTCGCAGTGCCAGGGTGCAGATGAAAAACATAATTAAACATAGTATTACAAAAATCAGTATGAAAAAGTTGAATGAAGGCTCTTGAATAAGCTTTATTTTGTTCTCCAGGCTTTTTTACCCTCATCAGTTCCCCACATTTATCCACACAACTGGAAATTAATTTTAAAAAGGGGTGAACTCCAAACCACATAAGAGATTTTACAATTTGTTTGAATGGCATTTAGGGAGAGTAAAAGAAGGAAATCATTGCATGTTTAAAATACTGCATGCCTGCATATTAGCTGGTTTCTGAACAAAGTCTGAGAAATGTTGAACACGGCGGGAAAAACTAAGTAAATAGAACACAAGAACTACCAAACACAATCACAAGTACATGGGTAATTCCAGAAATTAGGGGTCCAAAAATGTGACATTTTCGTGTCCGTTATATCTGACCTTTGTTATTTGACATGGAAATACTACCAGAACTGATTTCAAACTATTACTATTTGTTTGGCAAGTACTCTGCATTAATTCATCACTGTTTGAAATTGAAAAAAGTGTTCTAACAATGTGACCGGGACATAAAAAAATGGACGCCTAATTCTGGAATTACCCACATACATCAGTTTCTCTGCACCAATGCCATCTACCGGTATCAGCTTTGGAACTTGAGGGTATGGGAAGCCTCCTCTTTGACTCGGGATACCCCCTCTGGCACCAATGTTGGCACGTATCATAAATTTGAATGTGCATGTCCAAAAGCTCTAAGAATTTTAAATTCTACTTACTGTATGCAAATGTAGGTGATGGGTAATTGATGGACATACAAGGGCAAAAACTAGATATCCATTATCAGCCTTAGTCACCTAAAATTGCATACCTACCATCCTACCATAGTAACTTCTCCCTCCAAGAACCCTAATTGGTCCTCCATAAATATGACCCTTCTTGGTGTCACATCTGTAATAAATAATGAGATACAAGCAAATTTTAAAGAATCTTCAGACTAATACAAGGCACAACATATATCCTTTTCATCAGGCTTTAACTCAACTAGGTACCAAATGGTAACAGCATTTCTGATCAAATTCAGCCTTGTTACACAGTATGTACAGTCTGTTTATGAGATTTGTATGTTTGTAAGATTTATGCAGTTTTGGTTTTCAATAGAACTGTTGAATAACAAGAAGACAGGAGGAAATAAGTTGTTCAGCTAAACAGTTTCATGCCTATACCATTCCTATGGTTTATAAATAATACATGTTTTACATAATGGATGCTTTACATTATCCCTGGGTAGAGCAGTCTGTGGATAGCAGTCAAAATATGTCTACTTAACCAGGCCCTGATTGAAAAGGTCCTGAGATGTAGAACTTATTGATGAGACTGAATTCTCACTCAGTCCAGCTCCAGAGTTGGATGGTGTTGCTGCGAACATCTCTTCCAGCTGACAGTTTTTCTTCCTCTCCTCCTCCAGCTCTCTCCTCAACTGTGTGTTTTCCTCCTGGCATTCTTAATAGGCCTGGTAAAGGTAATGGTTACCGGAAGTTGAGTGAAATAGCTGTTGGGGTAGGTGGGCGTTGGCTGGAGCAATGGTGCCTACTATTTGTCATTCATCTGCATATGAAATAAATATAAGGAAAACTTTGTGTAACTTCGTCCCACTCTATATGCAAGCTGTGCTAAACTCACACAGCCTACTTAGACAACTCAAAAACATGTTTTGAGTGGACCTCAACAGGAATGTTCTAAAGTACAGATTCACAACTAGACCACATTAAACACGTTTTCATAACCACGACTTGACAATGTAAATGTCAATTGACCTGCCTGTGGTGAATGCGGACTGTAGACATTGCTCAGCAATTGCCTAGCTGATTTGCCTTGTGCATTTTTTATCTGGGAAAGCTGTATAAACACAAAGAAGAGATAAAACATAAAGATTTTGTTAAGTCTGTCTAGTCAAGCTGAATGAAAATGGGGAAAAAAGAATTGTGAAACCTACATGTAGCGTAATGAGGATTAAACAGAAATACAAAAATTACCCACTCAATGCAAGAAAATTATTTTTGCTTAAGCCCAACTAATCATATTTCTTGCACTTGAAAAATTGATAATCTTACTACTGGTTGGTTGTGGTTTGGAAGCCAAACTTTCCAATATCCTCTCACACATTTTCTTACTTGCATCCAACTTTGAGGTGGTCATTTTGCTTCAGTGGAAACCCAGATGATGAGTTAGCCTTCTCAGTGGTCTGGGCTGCCTTGAGGGCGATACAAATGGCCCCATCAATCTGCATTCACACTTTTTGCAAGGCATCTTAAAGCTTCTCTTAAGAGTATAAAAATAAAAATTGTCAAATTATATTACTAATAAATGTATATACATTTAATATGCCACACTTGTTTACTGTTTTAGCTTTTACTATTATAACTTTGGACTGTAAATAAATATGATTGGTCAATACGGGATGAATGAGCTTCAGATCATAATTCTGATTGGTAAATTCTGATTGGCCCGATCCATGAAGGGCCTACATGTAGCTCATCCCTCAACAAGGCCTTTGGTTGTGGTTTGGCAGTGCTAAAATACGACAAAACCAGATTGCAAAGTGTCTACTTCACGAACTCAAAGTCACTACTCCGTGCGACTGTGAGCCAATGTAGTTTACACGGAGTCGAAATGCTATAGGCTTTAACTCAAACTTGAGAGATAAATGACAGCTTGAACAATGCTTTCCCATCAAATTCTCCCGTTAGAGCAAGCTTGAGGTATCTATAGCTCTTGAAAATGCTTATGCGTGAGATTCAAAGCATGAGACTGCATTTTCTGGAAAAAAAATGAGATTTTTACTCACCAATCTCTCGCTTCCACCCAACGACAATCGTACCATTTGTGTTTTTCCATAGAGCTAAAAACTTGAGCACTAATTTTTCATTCATTGAGAAGCAGGCACAAACAAAGATTTTAAAAGAGCCACAGCCGGAATTATTTTTTTAAAACAACCATATGAACATGTATATTTGACCATTCCAGTTTCAATGCGTCTGTATAGTACTGTATGCCCAGTTAATTTGACAGTTCGGTAAAACGTTACCATGTTAGAATTATGTGATACAATTCTAACACTAAAGCCAAACACGTTTGTTGTTTAGTGTAAATATATATAGCACTGCTTGTGTGAGGATATGTATGATGTTAGGTCAAACATACATGGCAAACTATGGTGACAGAAAGCATCCTTTATCGTGATTACAAAACATCTTTTTTCAGTTTATGACTCAATGAGGTCCGTCAAATTTAGTGTGAATTAACATAATTAATATTGCAGGAGTCCTGTCCTAAAATGAGAATGAAAGATCAATTTTTTTTGTTTATTTTTATTTATTGTTTTCATTTGCAGGTTAAAAATTGCTCTTCATGACAATACTGTGGACTCTCTCCCAAACAACCGCTCTTCTCTGAGTTATCAGCAAGAGGCAATGAGTACCAACAACAGAGTATACATTTGTGAAGATGGTAAGAATTAAGTTTTTGTTATATTACATCCCAACTAAAAGAAAAAAGAAAACCTGATATGCAAACACACTTACTACTCTCGAGAATTGTTTAAAAAGAGTCTTCCTTCTAGGTCACCCAACCACAATTTTGATGCATGTATCAATATCTTAAATGTGAAACATATGTGTATATAGACAGTTGGGGCAAAACGTTTACATACACTTGGTAGAAAAACAATTTTCTTCACGTTTTCGGTGTTTGAAAGAGTTTTGTCAATTTTTTCTTCTCAATTGAATATTCACAGTGTGTACTTCAATTGAACATACTCAGAGATTTCTAAACGGAATGCATTACTGGCATTAACATTTGCACTCAGGCATAAATTGTCTGGAGAGTGTTTAAATGATTTATTACAGCTCATTGAATTGCAATCTCCTTTGCAAAACTCACGTGACACCTCACTGTATTTGCTCATAAATAATCTAAATGGGCTGAAACTTTTGTCCCTTAGGTGTCACAGATTTTCAGTACATGTACATGTACCAAATCTATAGTAGCACACTTTCTCGAAATCCCCTTATTGGATCAATTGAATGACATGTTCAAACTATCAAGATCTGCTTCACAGGTTCCAGACTGAAACCAAATCCTCCAGTGCACTTTTTGACACATACGATGAGTCACTATACCAAAAGCATTTCTCTGATTTTATCTTCACTTTATCAGAGGCTACAAGCAATGGCTACTGTTTGACATGCACAAGGGTTTATCCACAACAAACACAGGGCTAGGGTTCCACTCGTTTTCTCTGTTTTCTCAAAATGACGCAATCTACATTCAGCATGTTCAGAATTGGCATCTTGGCATGAACAGAAAAAAAAGCTTTTTAGCTTGTTGTAGTTGAGCTCCGAAGACAAATGACTCCGCGTTCGATGTGGATGCTTCCGTATTTATTTGAACAGATAATATCAGAGAAAACATGTTTTTCTTTGAGTTGCTCTTTAATATGCACTAGCTCTTAAACTTGCCTGATGTACTGTACAGACTTTTGGACCACTGTGCATTTGAGTGAAAATGTACAGTTGTTTTGCCTTAGAGATTCTTAATAGGGAGTTATGGAAATTGGTCCATGGTGCCAAAAAGCCTGTGTGTCAGATTGTAAATGCAGTCACACTGTGACATGCTGCGCATTCCAGAGTTAGGCGACAGACTAATGCCCAATTTAAAGGCTGCATTTCTGATGGCGTGGCACAAAACATCAAAGTGCTGTTCAAATCGAGCCCAAGATTTTGCTCGGGAAACTGAAGAGAAGCAAACATGAAGAATACCGCAACGCAGTTACTCGTACTAGCACAGAGACTGTTGGTACATCAGGTTTCTATCTGGTTTCTCCCTTTTAGGAGTGCGGGTCAATAACAGGCTAGGCTTGTTTGCAGCTCTCAGTTCATTGCTCTGAGGAGCAGGGATTGCTGGATGATGGAAGTTAAGCAAGAGATGAGATATTCCTCAAACGTGCTTGAGGGTGTTTTCATCCGTGCCACTGTGGAAGTAAAAGATCGAGATGTTTTGCTCTTATAGATGACAAAAATGTATGTTGTGCAGTTTGATGAGGTTGGAGTGTGCTCTAATAAACTGACTGACATATCTCCTTCCTTTCCAATTGGTCCAGAGCAAGGTCGATCAATTAGGATGTGCAGTTGTCATTAATATCAGGTGGCAATGACATTACGTTTTTAGTACAGGTAAAATCAAATGGCTCTTTGAAATGAAATCCATATATTAGATGTAAGAGATCTTTTATAAAGGATGCATGAACAGTTCTAGTGTAGGGTTGTGAGAAAAAAGGCCATCTAAATTTAAACAGATTATTGATCATATCAATAAGTTGAGGTGCGTGAACTAACGACAGACAGCACAGTCTGTTCTCTGGTGCAGTTGACAATTACAGTAGTACCGGCTTGTGCACATATGTACCACATGTATGTGCATTGCATTGCATTGAGCAACTTGCATGCATAATAACAGATTTGATGTGAAGTGTTATTACATGTATGTAATTATGTATTAGAACTTCATTTTTTTATCCAGCGATGAAAACATTAATTCGATATGCAAAGCAAAAAATTGAGACTCTCTTCGTGTTATCACCTGTGCATTTTTAGAATACGTTATTAAAACACCATCTAAGCTCAATTCCCCTGAGTTATGGATACTTTGATTTGTTTCCGAATATGGATGCTTTCTCAGCAGTCTTTGTGTCATGATAAATAAAGGTTAAGATGTGAGTCTGTAAATCTTGTGTAAGTCTTTAATTTCAGGTTTGCCTGTAATAAAAATCCCCAATTTGACGTCCATGCCTGATGTATTGAATCTCAATTTTGTTTTTGCACAATTTTTATCAAATGTAAATGTCACGTACATACATGTATGTCATTGTATCCATCCATTATATTTCAACTGTAAAGTGTTTATGTAATTTCAAAGTCCACTAATGCCTCTTTGATGACAAAAACTCACATTTTTTGAGGACTTGGTGCCTCTTTCTGAGAGCATTTCTCTCTTATGTAATCCATTGTGATGACTGTGATGCTGGTTTTTGATGAGCACTGATGCCTCATGATGACTGTTGTTTCACAAATCCTGTTTGATGCCTTATGATGGCATGGTTAATGCTACGAGATGACTGTTGATGCCTTATGATAACCTTTTGATGACTTTTCAGTTCGTGTGCTGACGACCCGTGATGCCTATAATGATGACTGAATGATGCCCAATTGTGCTAATGATGTCCAAATTATGACTAATTTTTCTAATAGGGGATCGTTATAATGACTATGACCTGACAATCAAAATTAGAAGTGTATAATGCTGTGCCACGTATATGCTCTTGGAAGTGCTACAAAGGCAGTAATTGCTTCAATAGACGACAGCAGCACCGATAATCCACCAAATGCAGCCAACCTACTCAAGCATGGCTTTTTATCGATGTATGGTGATAGATAGAATGATTGTAAAATTGGCGGGAAATAATCGTAGTAGACTACATCACCTCTGGGGTTTTCAAGGTTTGTAAATAGGCCACATTGGACAGACGTGTAATGTGCATATACCAGCCAGGCAAAAACCTAGGGACAGATGCTCCTACCGCTCCGAGTATCGACAAGGTGGCCTGCTTTTACATAGCTAGATACTGTCCTTTTATGAGAACCACTCACTGTACATGTGTGTACAGAGAACTAACTTTAAATGCCTTTGATGTGCGATATACTGAGCACATGTGACCAACTCTGCATGAATGTACCGTCCGAAGTGAGCACCAAATACGCATGCCCATACACGAGCCTGGCAGGAAACAGTTTTCTTCCCGTCTCTTCCTATCCCTTCCTTGTGTGTGCATTTGTGCTTTAACTCGGAGCAGATAGCATTGCCCACTGCATGCATGGGCTGCATTCCTAGTTAGGCGAGAGATGCATTGGCTCAAGGCACATCAGACCAAATCGTGTGCACAGATTGATAAGCCAAGGTAGTTGATGAAAAGAATAAGGGGGTGTCAAGGATGGATCCATAAACAATTTTTTTTTGGGGGGGGAGGCACAAGCCACATGCCCCCTGGAATGTGTGCAATTACCCCAAAGCGCCTTTTCAAAAATTGGGAATTTCCGTTCCTAGCACTTTACGGTCTCTCTGAGAAGTGACATTAAATTTTGGTTCTTTTGGGAAGCAACCAAAATGAAAAAGTCCCACAAAATCACTTTTCTTACATTTTATCTCAAACCAAACAAAATGTGCTCAACGGGGCAAGGTCTCCACCAATCCAACAATGGGGAGTAATCAAATTGGGACCTTGCTTCGTCATTAGTTCTATATCAATATGAATTTCAGGAACTTTAAGCACACTCCAGAGATATCATTGGCTTGGGATTCAAATGAGAACTGCACTCACCTTGACGTAGACAATTTTGAGAATCATCTCTAAAAATTTCTTGACAAACTACGAGAAAGGAATGAATAAAAGGCAAACACAAATCATGAAATATCCTTTCAATGGGGAGACAATAATTCTTTCAGATTTTAAAGGACTTTTAAACAATTCTGTTCTCGAGAATTTCAACGTAAAAAACACTCTCAATAGAAAGCCATGAGAAAAAGACACTACTAAAAGACACACAACACAAACAAACCATTTTCTCTTTATATACTGAATAATTAAACAGTGTTAATAACAGTTCAAGACTGTGACACAAAATAGTCAAACGCAAATTACACAGAAGAAATTTGCAACAGCAGAAATCCTACAACAAAGACGCTAGAGTGACAACAGACCCAAATTCCCCCCTCTCTGGGATGTGTCACATCAATTTAACTACAAGCCCTCGCGCCAGGCAAACCTCATCAAACGCCTCAAGCTTACCACGCTAAAGAATGTTCAATTTGTGCCCAAAACCAAGTCATTAATTATGTTTTGAGCTTTCGAGTCTGTGCCTGTTGATGACTTTCTGCCAATTCTGAATGAAAAATCCCACAAGATTGTTAGTTGTTTCTGTACCAAAAGGGGCCTTTCAAATTCAAAAATGCACCACTTTTGGACAGTTATGGGCCGAAATGCTATGATGCATCGTATACGATGAACTCCTACAAAGCAATTGTGATTCTACACATACAATTTCACATTATTAGTTCTGTTCCTTTTTCTTTATACGTTATAGTTTGTTTCTTTTACTTGTCAATTTGTCTAAAATATACCTTTTATTCAACCGCAATTTTAAGTTTTCCAAAAACAACGCCGGAAAGCAAAAGCACTTGGAATATGCAAATACACAACTATGAACCAATTCACACAACAGTGGCTAAATCTTGTTGCGCCCCACCCACTAGCCCCATGTCAATGTTGGGTCTCAATGCGCGATCTGCGCTCCAGCTCAAGATGACATTTACCAGGGAAGTGGGGGACCTGCAAAGGGTGAGGCTAAAAAAAACGTGTCCCACAATTTTGTCCTGGGCTGTAGCTTCCATGAGTTATACACAGTTTAAAAACTGAAAGACTGGACACGACTAATGCCCAAGCATGGGCGAGGGCATTGTCAGCGTCAAGTCTTCCGAGTCCGTTTTAAACGTTATTAAGACCGAAGCCAAGCACATATTTATTCCCATTCATTGATACCTTTTCAGTCGGAGAGTCAAAAAAAGTCGATATATGATAGATTTCCGGCGATTTTTTGCTACAATTTTACTTTCAGTTTCCAAAACACACCCGTCCATTTTATGGAATATTCCTTGTGAAAATTGTCCAATTGGCATGCTCGTGGCGAGCCGCTTACACACAGAGATACCGTGCACGATATAAGGCCGATGGGTACCCCCCCTGTCCAATCCCTAAACACACTCTAGACTATTGTTACCCTACACATCCCCCTAAAAGTCTGTAAATATTTTTAAGGCATTTAATGACGGACCCACTACGGACCCTGTAGCATTTAGTCAAGATCATCAATGTGATCCTTGAAATATGGTAAATGAAGGCATCAGTATCAGGCTTTGAAAGGCACCCACTCGTCGTTGGTTTAGCAATATTATTGTCATGTCACGTGCATTATATAACCCTGCTTATATGACCCTGCTTGCCTTGACTAAAGGCTAAAGATATATACTTCTGTTCGCGTACCAGAGGGGTTGCCACCAATAAATAACTTGAACCTACCATACCGATACTTGAACTTCACTGGCTGAATATTATAGCAGGCGCCAAATGTTCCATGAACCTTCAAACAGGAGTGAATCAAAAGGAACTCCATGAGATGCCACAAGTCTTGAAGTGAAATGATAATTCAGGGGGCAGGACTATTTTTTTAATTATTTTTATTTATTATTTAATTTTTTATTATTATTATTTTATTATTATTTTTTTTATTTATTTTCAATTTTTCCAGCAGCCAAAATATGTATAACAAGCACTGGTAAATGGTACCCTGTTTGCAGTGGGGTCGGGGAGGGCAAAGAAGTCGACAAACTTTGGATTATAGTCAACTTACCTCATATGTAACTTCGCAGTCTCCCCGGGCTAGATCAAGATCTTCGTTATCTAGATTAACTTCTCCATTTCTTATCTGCTCCAAATTTAAATAAGACTAGATTTAACTTTTATAGTATGTCACAGGAGAACAGAATCTCCCGGTGATTAATAAGATATACATATCCTCTTTTAGCACCAGACTGTGTGTTCCACCTGTACTTGTAGGACAGAAAAGCTGGGGGGGTATAGGTCCTCAGCAACAACTAACCTTTCATGATGGAAGACAGTGTTAATTCCAAGATGCTGTATTTTCATGCAAAGTGGCGATTTCCGTACCCTTTCCTACTTTTTGCTTCATTTCGCTTATGGCGCAAGTAGCCTTGTGGTTACAGAGTCGGGACGGGTACTGATTACAGTGTGTGACCTTGTATATTACTGAGTGAAATCACTTTACCCCCACTTGCTTCCCTCTGCCAATTGGTACAAATGATTATGTACCCTTGAGGGCAGAAATAGTTCTGAAATGCCAGCATCGAGCTGTAGCTCCCTTGCTAAGAAGGTCCTTTAGATGTCCATGGGTCAGTTGATGATCAGATAAATATATTGTGTTCCTTGATCAGTTTCAGGACAAATGTACATTAGTCGATATAATGATATTACTTCCGATTTTGTTTTAATTTTTACATTTTCATCAGGGAAAAGCAAGTGCCCCGTTGCCCCCCCCCACGTGAATGCCTAACCTAAACCTCAAGTGTCTCAATTGTGATCTATTAGGACGCCATTGGGTAGGTATAAATGGATCAATCTACAGCTGGGGTGGGGTGTTGGGCCTTTTGTTATTCTTTCATCTTGGCAAGAATGGTGCCATTTAGTATGCGATTACGTCCATTCCTATCCATGTATGTCCCACAATACAAAGTTCAACAGTAAAGTATTCCTTCAAGGTCATGAACTTCTGGTCTGAGGAGTGCTGAATGTCCACAATAGTCCATTGCTCTTTGCTGCACATAGCAAAGACAACAGCATAATAAACAGACTGTATTCATATGTCGGCCATCTTGAATTGAAAGTGAGGTACAACATTTAATTTGGGGAACCCGAGAGTAACACTATCAATGACGCAATACAAGTCCGTTTAATTCATGCTGGTTTTTGTATAGAAAAATCTAACATATGTAATAAATTATACCTAAATGTTTTAAGACACATTAAACAAACTGAAACCGAACTTTGGAAACCACTACAGTTTAGCACCAATCCATTTAACAGATTACACCAAATATGATAGATTCAGGGAACAACATAAAATTGGCTTCCCATGAATAAGGTCTAATGTTTAGTACTCACACGTAGACGACTTGAATTATTCATGATTTGGGCATTAGTTGGTTGTCTTTTACATCGAGGATGAGTCAGAGTTACCAAGTAGAAATGAACATTAGGAATCCATCCTGCCAAAACAGGCAAAAGTCACATATCGTGGTAAATTCAGAAACAAATTCACAGGAATTTCAGAGAGAAATTTAACCTTGCTGATCAGTTCAGAAATGCGTTAAGAAGGTCACTCAATTTTATTAAACTAGCAAATAACATCAACATTTATTAAACACTCTGAGGGACCTGTCTCTTGAAAACTGAAGGGAACCTGATCATCAGGTAACACTAATGACACTAATGGCATATTGAATAATTAACTGTATTTTCTGGCCAGCTGCATAGCCAGGGTTTTATTTTCCCTGCAATATAACTCATCTGCCCTTTAAGCAACCACTGTCCCAATTTTGCATTATGAGAGCAGATGGAATTCCCTTTTCATGGGGGAAATTATAATGAAGTCATGTTTACCGGGCCAATGGTGGGATGGTTTAACCCTCTTATCAGTGTGCTACATAATTCTACATGGTGTAGGCCCATGTATAGCTAAAAAATTCTCCCATCCCTTACAAATCAGCACATCTTCATGTAGTTCAACTGAAAATAGGAAAACTGTCCAAGAAAACTGATGATTTTGCAAACAAAAGCGTTCACTGAGATCACTCAGTTCACTGAGATTTGAAAGAGGAAAACTAACAGTTGAAAAAGTTGTTTTCAACAATTAATTTGGCAACTGAACAGTGGTGTACTATATACAGCGTGGGGGCAACGAATTCTTTCTTTCTTTCTTTTTTTACAAAGAATACTTCATAGATGAGTGGTGTGGCGAAACAGGGTAGAGGTATACTTGTATCAAGATTGAGGCTACCAATAATTCATGCGCGTTCAGATTATGCATTATGCATGGCGCGGCAGCAAGTGCACAGTATCTGAGGTCTGGCCCATTGTTGGGGGTACTTTGTGAGCTGGTGGCGATTTGTTGAGAGCCAGCTGATGTGCCAGGTGACAACTGCAGGAGATCGGGAGAACTCCAGTACGATCGGTCAGTATAGATTTAGCATGTTCTGGAGCTGTCAGTTATTAAGATCTCATTTATGATTTGAGTTGGATTGTTGAGAGACAATTTGGACTATTTAAGAAGTATTGGATTATATTAGTGATAACCGGGTGATCTAGTCATTGGGAATCAGCGAAGATGAGACTTTAAGGATTGCCGCAGTGCCGCTTGCGCCATGTGTATTGGCGTAGCTGCGTTTGAGTGCAGCCCTGGTCTATGAGCTTGCTCTCCCCGCTGAGGCTTACTGGGCATACAGGATCCAATGAGGACTATTATAATCACCCCGCTATTCTGTGTGCAAGAGTAATGTGAAGTGTGTAAGGATTACTTATAAGTTTGTGGTGCATGCAGATGACATGAGGATCACTTAGGCCTATCATAAGTTTGTAGTGCAGTTGACCACGTGAGGATAATCACAAGTGAGGAATACAGCTGAGGCTGCAACTGAGGACTCTTTGGGAAGGTTATAAATTCATTGGTTCTTCTAAGGATCTGCCAATGCAATTGCACTCTTACATACTTTTGCGGGATTTTACCTGACACAGTTTCCCAAGATAACCTGAGCTTGAAGGAAAACAAACGTCGGTTAGCCCTGGCCGTCAAACTGCTGTCCTTAATGACCGGTATAGGTTCTGCAATGCAAAACGTGAGATTTAACAATAGTTAACAGGTCTATACAGGTCAAGTAAGTGGGAGGTCAAGGGTATGGATCCCACTCAAGCAAGCTTTTCAAGTGTGTCAAGCAATTTCTCAGAAAGCAGTGAACATATACAGCCATTGATTTTGGTGGACAAAACCCAAATAAAAAAAGGGCCAGAACATATTCTAAATTTTCATTTCTCCTCTTCAAAGGTATTTTGATGACTTAATGCAATGTCATATTGAAATTTTTTATTGAGCACAAATATGATGTCAATTTGAGGAAAAATCCTCAATGTTATAGCCAAAAGTACCAGAACTTACCAGAAGGTTTTAATCAACATAACAATTTCAAAAAGGGATGACCAAAAGTGTTCATAAACATAAGAGAAGTAAAAAAAACTGCATAAAATACGTTCCCAAAGTTAAGTTTATGTAATGGTTTTCAAATGATACAATTTAATCTTCGAAAGGAACTACTAAAATCTTGAATGAACTAAACCTCTGTAACAAAATATTCACCGAGCATTTTCATATCGCTAGATGGGCTTGCTCCAAACTCGCTGACTAATGCAATCTGGAAGAACTTGGCACACACATCTTCCAAATCCATGACGAATGTCTGGTTCTGTAACAGGATCAATCCAATTAACATCAAGTGAATTCATTCATTACTTCAGCTACGTGTTCCGTGTTTGGAAGCACGATTCTACATGTAGTCCTTCCGCCTGGATCCCTGTAATGGATCCACTGTGGAAAGTACAAGTACAAGTAAAAGTGTTTCTCCCTCTCGTGCAGCTAACACTTTAGAATTAATTTCCTGTTACTTACCCTTTAGCCCACGTCTTGCAAAGCTTCAAGAGCGTAAATCCATATCTTGTACATGACCGGACTTACAGTTGATTGTTAAGTTACCAAATTTATCAGAGCACAAATAGCTCAATGCCCATACACCTCTAATTAAAAAAAATTGTGACCTTTTTATGTTCTGGACTGAACAACTATTATAAAGGACAAGGCTGACTTCATTTTTTTGATCATCTTAAAGTAAGAAGCAGCACTACTTTAACTCAATTTCTAAACTTTCCTTTGCTGTTTTTCACACTGTTGAAAAGAATGTTTTTGTAAGATATGTTGACCTTGAAGCCTTCAGCGTCTTTGAATCTAGACATGTCAAAGAAACGCATGACCGCGCGGTATCAGGTTTTAGCAACTGTATGCCATCCGTTGTAAACTACGGTAGGCCTTTTTTCACCTAAAATAACCAATTTGAATTCCTTTATCAAATGGCACAATGGCATTTTGCTGCATGAACTGTTTCCATTTTAGCACTAATTTAGAAAGATCATGGATTCCATTTGTAATCAGCGCCTACGCAGTGGCATAACGTCTGAGGGAGGCACCTGGGGGTGCACACGTTTTCAAGAGGGTACCATAAGAAAATAAGCTGCAGGTGCATTTTGAAGGAGATTATTCACAGCTTTCAAATGGGAGGGTGGGGCATCTAGGGGTACGGGCATCCGTGGGGGGTTTCCCCTCCCCCCCCCGTAGTTGCGCTAACGAGCGAGTTGGGCATCGTTATATGTTAAAAAGCAGCACGCCATTTCTTGTTCCTGTATTGAGCGGCTTGCCTTACAGTCTTAACACTGCAATTAATATAAGTTCCAGTTCATTGTTTCCATACTTACTTCTGTCTGTATTTCATAACTCCACTCGTCATGGTGGGCCCTGTAGCGGATAATGCTCACCAGCTCTTGGTCCCAATGGTGACAAGTTGTGCAGTTGGCACGATGCCACCTCAGTGACAAATGATTGTCAGCCAACTGCGGTTTACCAAGTACAGGTTTCTCTAGCAACGAATCTAACAACAAAATGAAAAGAGACCGGAGGAAATCACGCTAATGATCAGTATGAATGTTGTCCACTTTCACAGACTTCATACTATTTTTGACAAATTGTATTGTAGAAGTCTTCCAGTCACAAGTGACAAAGTAGAAGGACCAAGCAACTCCACTGACACTGATGATTTCCCCATGTTTGGTTGCGAGTGTTATTTGTATTTTTCATGCAATGGGTGTTTTTGTGCAATTTATCAAACACCTAATAGTTTCAGGTGACAAGAATATAGAATAAGAATAACATGATCGTTCATCTTACAAAATTAATAGGCCTATAATCAAAGTGCGTCAAATAAAGTTCCATACAAGGGTATCAGCCCCCCCCCCATCTCAGATCAGATGGACAGGCTTACAGGGCTGATTATTTTACTGTAACTAGATACTGACCATCACTGTTATAATTTTTTTACAGTTTCTAGCCATAAGAAATGAAGCAAGGATGATTAATAGCAGGACAGAACTCAACTGTGGTGTTGAAAATGGCTTACGCTTGGACACCCATCACTGTGCTTAGAATTTCACACTAGCACAGCACATCAAAGTGTTATGGGGCTGACATGTTTGCCAAGGACAACAATACCTGGCTTCAATTAAGAAATAGCAAGTACACACCTTACATTTTGAGGATGGGATTGTTTAAATGTTTAAAATTAGGGGGAAAAGGGGTGTGTTCAAACATTTCTTCCAAACATATAAATAGAACAATTTTTAAAAATTGTTCCTTGTTCTTACTATTTTTTAATAACGGGAACATCTGTTTATACTGGGTATGGAGGTTGCTATGTTTTATATTTCTGGTGTGCCACCACAGCAAAGATCACTGCTCACGTACTTCATCTCCGGTACGTGACTGACTGCTGGCTTCAAGTTACATAGCGTGTGAATATGGTGCCAGAAATTTAGCAAATTCAACTTAGATTCCCACCCTAACTGCTCATATTCTATTCCAAGAAAACGAAGAAAAAAACCGGACTCGTTTTCTGTCGTAGATGGAGAACGCATGATTCCACGAAGCTTTTAAATCTTATCTTCCGTGGAATTTTGCAGCCGACAATTTTTTACCTGCTACAGCCTTATTATATTAAAATGTACACTTTCCATAAGATTCATTTCAATCATTTTAAATTAAACCTCCTCAGCAAACTAGTGAAATTCGAAGTATTTGGGATCAACACAGCCAACAACGTATAGCATCAAAATGAAAAGTACAAACAAAAGAAAATCACCATAAAAGCCTAATCATTTTGATCAGTTGATTTATTCACAACTTTTCCAAAAACATATGAGAATGCTATATTATACAATATATTTCGTTTCAGACTCAAAGCAAACTCTCCAACAAGGAGGTAACGTAGCGGGGGATTATGGCAACTTAAAGGGATCAATGAGTACAACTGCAAGGGGAGGCGTTTTTAAACCATGATTCCAATGAGTGTGGAGTGCAGCATGCTTGACCAGTTCTTATGTACATGTACCATCTTGCTCGGCCCCTGGCATCTAGTTTAGCCACTTCTTACTCAAACTTCAATTTTTTATAACACTCTGGGGCCTGCACCGTCACGAAGCAAGATTTGCTCAATCTACAGCAATTGAATTCAAGAAACTGATCACTTCCACCAAGCCTCCACAGACTTATGAAACTGTGGGTGTGAAAACAAATGGGGGGGTTATCCACAGTTGCAAAGACAAGACAGAGCTAGGGGGCGTCCTGTTCACGTGCCCAGCTCACACATTATAATATTACAATGTTCACAGGAATTCGTCGCATGGGTGCATAAAGTTGTGCATGAACATGGTTAGTTCCCATTAAACTGTTGTTTATTCTGCAAAGAACAAGCACTCTCTTATTCCCACTCTAGGTGGACACTGACCGTACGTGCAAACAAGTTTAGCCCACTGATAGAGCTCGATGCTTTTGCCATAAAACCTCAAATGTGAGGTTGTTTCAGCAAGTCCTTTTGGGCGACATGGTGTACGCCAGGGCCTGTCATATATCATGTCTGGCAGGCTGGCGGCTCTCTCTCTCTCTCTCTCTCTGATGTGTTCAGACAGAGTCACTGACAGGCGGTTGGGAGGGAGGATGCCTGTAGCTTGGCAGTCGATGGTTGACCAAGGCTTGGTCTTTAGCCCCCCCCCCCCCCACCGAAAAAACTGTAGTCAGGGGAAATCAATTTATACATGTACATAAAACTTTCCTGTCAGTGCTCCAAAGAGGGCGCTGTCATTACAGTTGTCTTGTTTGGTGCGTGCGTTACAAAAAGCTTTGTAAATGTGCTCATATGACTGTACTCTTGAATGGATATGGCGGACGACGCGCCGATACAAGAAAGGCAATGTTAAATCAATTTTCTTGTTACTTCATTGATTTCTCAGTGACGTAAGTTTTTCACAAACAAAAAATTCAGGGGAAATAAAAGTACTCTGCCTTACTCTCTCTGACCTCTCTCTGTGGATTTTATTAGTTGCAGGGGCGAGAAGACACCTACGGAGCAATCCATTAAAATAGAGCAGATTTTGTTATACTGATATAAAGAACGTCATATCCGGTAGAGACCGTGCATGACTTCAAAATAGTTTGGTTACGTAACTGCTTCGCAGGGTTTTAACCTTCAAATAATCTCATGCTTTTCCTGATACACGAGGATGCTGCTGTTATGTAATTCAGGGAGACTGTGCATTGGCGTAAAAATTTTAAGAGCACCATGTAGGCCTACCCCTAAAACGTTAAAAATAAAATTGAACATGTTAAACGGATGCAAAGCTACATTTTAAAAGAAATGTATTAAGTACAATTGTACTGCATGGGGTTCTACAAAGTGGCAATTTCGTCAGCCTGGTGTACACGAAGGCAAAATCCACTATTAATCATGGAGGGAGTTTACACTGCACCAGTGAAACAATAAACGGTGTGACAAACGACAAATAAATCAGTTTCATTGTGTGTTGGAAACTTGGTTTTGTGTAGAACACGTTGAAAAAATCGGAGAGATTTACAAAACAGGAATTAAGCCTTGAATGCAATGGTGCATCATTTAGTATTGAAGGAAAAGTACTGAGATGTAATTGTTCACGTGATGCCTATGAAGCCAAAAAAAAGAAAGCTTGTTTATATTATTTGCATGTCTGTTTTGCTGGTTTTGTCATACAAAACGCCTAATTATTATTCCTACTTATTATTAATACTCTTTATTAATCTTTATCACTCTTTCTAAACCTAGGCCCCATTTCAACAGTAAAGAGACGGAAACATACTTTTTATCATCAAGGTTAGACTGGTGGTAAGGTTGCTCCATATTGCCTACTCTGCCGTCATTTTCATTGTAAATCTTTCTAACTATAACTTTTAATCTAAAAAAACATTTTGGTTTACCTGAACCTCTTGTTAAGTTGTCACATGATGCCCAGCAGTCCACTGTTTTCTGTAATTTAAAGTCAAATGCTTGATTTAAAGGAAAGCGAATTTAAAGCCTGATGTTAATTCTCACTAACAACGACAATCATTTAAAAACTTCAGTACACTTGAAATAATTCATAATTACAAAGGACTTACACAAATTTCAGTCAGCCATGTACTGTTGAAGTAGTCGCAAATATGAGTACATTCTCCTCCACGGGCCACCTATAAAAGCAATAAAACAAAAGAAACTGTGCACCAGCTCGTAAACATCCGCAAAGTTGGTATTATCAACTTACACTTTAGACACGCCTCATTATTCAGTATCATGCCATTTCACATCTCTGTCTAAAATCTTCAATAAAAAAAAGAATCTTTCAAGGGTTTCATAACTACGTATACATGTATATACTGTTTTTATTCATCCATACAACTGATCAGCAATTCAACAAGCAATTCAGTAATTAAACGAATTCTTTCTGTTGAGTAAATACGTCAGTGTTTGAGTTGTTCAATATTATCATCATGCAGGGGCGTTTGTTTGTTTGTTTGTTTGTTTTTAAGAAGTCAACAATATCGAATGCTACTGCCTGACCGGGCTCTAGTCTCTTGAATCACGCAAGTATATTCTTACCATCTGTACATTTGGTATTACGCAGCAAATGAGTAATGAAACTAGCTGTTATATAGGCCCCTATTCAGCGATTTACTATGTTTCTTGTCATTTGCAGTTCATCCTTTTAATGCCAAATATGAATGTTATTTCTGCAGTCAAATCATCACGCTTGTCATTGATGTGAAAAAAAGCTTTGGACTGAGATATAACTTACGGGGGGAAAGGAGAAAATGCACATGGAGCAGAGGAATCTAGAAGGGATGAGGTTAACAATGATCCTAAAACGATTCACTCTGAATGGTCTGATATGTGTAATTCTGAGCCTGATATAAAATGCGGAGATTTTGAGGAATCTACGCAGGGTCTACGCAGGGTGAAAACGAAGATTTCAAAGAAGATGATTGGACATTTGATACGGTGGTAGAGAATGTTTTGTCGTTGAATGAAGATGAGTTCCGAACTGGAAGACAATATCGCCTATTTAGAATAGAAAGCAGGCTAAGGAAGCCACTGGAAAGAATGGAGTGAAAAATATAAAAAGTACGTTGACAAGGATATGGATAAAGATCAAGTAGAAGAAACTGCCAGACGGATTTTTGGCAATTGTTTCTGTGTCTATAAGAACCATGTTTGAGCCATTTGAAATAGCTACTTGATGCTCTAGTAAGATGTTTCGTTTGTTTAGTTTTATCCGTGCACTGAAACATCCAAAGAGTTACTGTATACAACTGCCATTTCTGTTGACTCCGAGGTCCCTTGGTCTGCGATAATTCAAGCTATCGCCCTAACAGTGACGAGTAAGGCCAGTGGTAACGTTGTACCATGCAATGCAGATTCCCAAATAACGTAGGCGGGTGTATACGCATATAAACCATGCAAGAGTGCCCAAACACTATTGCGTTATGAGACAACATCCCCTCCCCAGAGTTAGCCCTGCACAGTGGCGTGGCTAGGATTTTACTAGTGGGGGCACATAGGGGCACTTGCTTCTTATGGGGGCACCAGCTTTCAGTGGTGTGGCTTTTGGGAGCAGATTTTTTTAACCTTGTTTAATATCCATTCATCCGTTTTTCAGTGGGGGGGGGGCACCTGGGGCATCAGGAATTTGTGGGGGGGGGGCACGTGCCAATGCCCCCCGGCTACGCCACTGCCCCTGCATCTGGCACATAATTTCACATCACACTAACTGAAACACCTTTAAAACCGTAGTTCTTTGTCCTAAGTGCCATAATGTATTGTTAAACATGATCTACGAAAATTAGCAGATTCTTTGAAAAGGGGGAAAAACAGCATAATACTCTTGATAATAATCTATGCATAATCATTTGCGGAAATCCAATTTAAGTAATATTATGTGGATAATGTTGATGAGCCAGATGACTTAATGAGCATTGATAAACTCAAAGATGGTGTCAGTAGTAATAAACTGCATTATATTACCGAAATGTAGGCGTGATGTTTTTGAAAAGTATTTCATGTGTATGGGCGATTACAACATTTGCTGAAAGGTTGACCAGGTATAAATGCAAATGCATACAGATTTCCCATATTAATGTTAGGAGTTTGTTCTCCAAAATGGATGAAATTTGATTTCTGATCAAAAAGCTTGATGTTGATGTGTTATGCATATCCGAAACTTGGCTTGAATATTTCAGTAGGATCCTTGACGTCATAGACAAAGCTTCCATTGAAAACAAAGAGATCATTTCATTGGGCGATTTTAATATTGACTATGAAATTGATGAACCTTAAACAATTATCCTATTCATATGATTGAAAGTATATGTTCTTAGTGAACTGGTTACTAAACCTACACGGGTCTGAAATGAATGTCTAAGTGTATCATTCTTATCTTAAGCCCACACATACCATTGAGAAACATACCATTTGTGATGTGGCTCAGATAACCCTTAGCATGGAGCTATTATACACAAGGAGTAAGCACATGCAGAGGTCAAAAGAGTCAATGTGGCCACCGCCAGCACTGCACGTGCTGTAAGGACAAAACAAATCACGCGCCACTTGCGGGCTTTAAGGAATGCTCGGGGTTGCATTATTTTGCAACGGAGCGTAGGTACCGCGCATGCGTGTCCTTAACACTTCTGGTGTTCAACATGGCCACCTTGATACGGTTATCATGTCCTGCTTCGATACATGTCATTGATATCATTGTCTTTGACACGATTTGGGGAAACCTGATGAAATTTTACATACAATAAATAATAAACACAATAATACTAAACGTTTAGCATGCAATTTTTAAAGGGTCGGCGCAGTGCATTTTTAATATAGTCCTTGATAATACACCTTTGTGTGTCAGGGGATGTTATTCTTAACATTTTTTCTTCTTTGAAGGGTACACTTTTTATGGGAAATTATTACTTTATAAAACTTGTAACATTTTATTCAAATATTCATGAGGAAAACTCTCTCATTCCAGGAATAAAATCTCAAAATTACTTGTGCATTTATGTGTGCACCCACAAACAAAAACAAAAATAAAACTTCAAAAAATTTTGATATGTTGTCCTGCGTTTTTTTTTTGTTGGTGATTTATTGCTGCATGAGTGCATTACAATAAACGACACGCAACCCTTTCTCAGACTTTTAAGCGAACAAATTGTGGGTTCTACCTTGAACAGGAAACATGCAAACTAAACAGTATCATCGCCCGAATGACGTCAGAGTAACAACACTCTCAGTTGTCAGGAAGCATGGACGATTTCATTCTTTTTAAAAATGCATTTCTCACTACACCCAGTCTCAAAGGAATGTCAAATAGTTTTCATACACAGACAAGGAGTATAAGAGTGACACAGAAGTGCACGTAAGAACTTAATGGCAGGGATCCTTTAACCTAAAAAAAAATTAAACTTCAGAAATCGTATGTATTACTTGAGGCTGGTCATACATGAAAAAAATTAATAACAACTCAACTTAAATCAGTTATGTCGTGTGTTTATAAACCTTCTGGGCCAATCATTCATACGATGCTGGAGGAAAGTTTGAGGACTGAAGAGCAGCGTTCTGGACACGATTCCGTAGTAACTGAGCCGACTTGAAAACACACTGGTTCCCTTTTGAATAAACAGCAGGTTCCTTTAACAGGAAAACTACCATCAGCCAAGATTCGAGGCTTAGAAGGACTCGAGTTAATTATTGGCCATCTCTCAACAATCAAGATCAGCAAGTGCGGAGGCGAGAATGCCTTCGTGCAATAAATGCAACCACCCATCCCTACCTATCCTTTCTGATCTCTCTCGGTGTTTGGATCAACAAGCCCATGAATGGCCACCTGACTTGGCCAACTTCCTCTTCTCACGCTGAAGGGCTCGCAAAAGGTTTCAGGGCACGTTCTGTTATTTCTCCCAAGAAAATATCCGCTACGTATTTCTGTGAATTATGAATAATCTATTACATCGACCGGCTTTCGATGTAATCTCGAAACTCCTTACAGTATGCCTTGTAATTCAAACAGAAACTCGCATTTAACCAGAAACTAGGTTGCTGAAGGGCTTGCAAAAGGTTTCAGGGCACGTTTTGTTGTTTCTCCCAAGAAAATATCCGCCACGTATATATGTGAATTATGAATAATCTATTACATCGACCGGCTTTCGATGGAATCTCGAAACTCCTTACAGCATGCCTTTTAATTCAAAAAGAAACTAGAATAGGGCATTTTTGTAGTTGGTTATAAGTCAATTGTTAATGTCTTGGAAAATTATCGATAATATAGAAAACTTATACTTCGTGGAAAACACTATACGAAAAGTCGACCTCGTAGACTTGACTCTTCAAAAAGATTTTGCAGCATTGGTTGTAAGGAAAGTGATGTTCTTTTCTTTAACAAAATGGCAAGTGATTTCCATTTAAGGTCCCATTTGGGACTATTAAGAACCCTTAGTTTACGTATTAGGCTATTTGATAAATGAAATGAAGCCAAATGCAGGAGTCTACAAAGCAATTCAGCAGAACAAAAGTAAAAATGTGTGACACAGAAATCGCTGTTCTTTACGAAGTTACAATAACGTCCACCTTCATTCTCGCCTTTTACAATAATTCGTGTATTTTTAATGCTAACAAAAAGCCACCGATATTGATGTAAAATACAGTTTAAAGAAGAGTTAAGCTTAAACATTTTAGCCTGAATGTTTTTTAGGTTGACCCTGTAAAATCTTCACTCCTCTCGATTCTGATAATGAGAGAAACTGGAAACTTTTGTTAAAATTAGCAGACAGCAAACTCTTCAGTGAACATTGATGCTTGAAGAAACCAGAGAAGTGATTTCCGCCTGTCGCCCCTGGCTGTATGCAGAAGATCCCCTTTCAATCTGGACATTTGCGATTATTACAAGAAAGGAATTTGTTTCAACTGTAGGCTGAAAAAGCGGCCAGATTGACAAAGAAGGGGCAGCAGCAATATATATACATATATATATATATATATAATCTTTCCATTTTGCAAATAGGTTTTACAAAGCTCTTTAAAAATTATGTCACAGCATCCATCCAACAATGTAGGTCTATTTGAAGTATCTTGGGGGTTGATTTCTGTCATTTTTTTTTGCCAACGACAATATTGAGGGTTTGTATCTTGTTAATGGCAGATT